AAGTGTATACTGAGTAGGAGGACGTTGTACTGAGTCTAGAATTTAAATAATTTAGTACTCATAAAATCTTTGTTAACATACCTCAGTGTTATTCCACCATATTGTAACACTATCACTTGATACCTGATACCAACTAATATTAACAACTGGAGCTGGTACTACAAAAAATACAATGAGTGTGTGTGTGTGCATAGTGCTTACCATTCCATATATACTGTATTAATGATGAAGGAGGTCCTTCTCTTCCAATAGTATCAATAGGAATAATAATAAATGAATAATTAGTACCAACAATAAGAGAAGTAAGTGTTATATTGTTTCCAATAGAGCTGTATTGAGAAGATACATTGCTGTCATTAATCATAACAGTATAGTTCACTATACACTGTATAATGTTCTGTTGATACAACCAAGTAATAAGTATTGAACTATCATCAATTGGATTTATATTTATATCAGTCACAGCTACTGGTGGATCTATAAATGATAGGAACATTCAACAGAATTAATGTCAGAATTATATCTAACCTGCTATAGTAATAGTTACTGTAGCATATACAGCAATTATTGATGCTCCTGCACAAGCAACCTCAGATCCATTGAGTGACACATTGATTGACTGATAGATACCAGTAGTTGTTATTGTACTACCATTGATGCTAGTAACATTAAGCATTAGACCTTCAACAACTTTAGGCCCTGATACTGGTTCTGCTTCATTGCTTTGTCCAGGTATTCTCCAAAATGTACTCCCAGTGGTAGTTGTACAAGTGAGTACTAGTCTATCACCAGGACACAGTGGGGTATAAGATGGAGAAGTTTGAACTAGCTCTGCTCCAGATGATAGTAAAATAAGATCAACCAACACAAGACACCAGAGAACACAAGGGGTAGCCATTGTGCCAGTAGCAATAATAAGAAAGGTCTAGCTGGTCTCCTTATCAACAGAAAATTGCCTGCAAATCAGTCTACAACATTTTGCTGTGTTGTTCTCTTTCCTATAACACTCCTACCAACCCACACACTACACATACACCCACCCACCATATGCCATAGATAACACTACTATCATGAGTAGTATGGACACTACAACTTATTGCAACAGATGGTTTGTGCATGATAGTTATCACAAAACACTAAGCATTAAAACTATATACAATAAGTGATTGACTGCATAATTTCATAATAAATAGAATTGGATGATTATATTGTTGTCATATAATGATGTACATACAACCACAAATGAGCTATTAAAAGTACACACTTTTAAAATTATTTTATCAAAATGCTTGTCCATATGCAGTGTTTTGTTGAACGTCAATG